CCCCAAAACCCCAAAACCCCAAAACCCCAAAACCCCATAAAAATTATAATTTTAGAAAAATCTCAGTACCAATGGAGAAAAAAGACAGTAATCAAGAAGAAATTCCCCAAGAATTCATAGATGATAGCTTCAACTACGATGACTACGTAATAGAAGATGCTAAAGATTTCATGAATGATAAATAATTCCCAAAAGCAACTCCAGAATGCTAAAGCAAAGATGAAACGATCAGTGGGAAAATAAAATAGCAGGCCTCTTTAAGGGATTCTTTAATAAAACCTCCAGAAAAATGAAATCAACATCTAAGAAGAAAAATTATAAAAATAGGAGAGAAAGAACTATGTCTTTACAACAACCTGTATTTTGTGAGAGAATTACGCTTGCTGAAAATCCTGAAGAATTTATGAGACAAAATTCTCATTATATGTAAGTAATTCTCTCCGAGGATCTGATAAAATATAGAACAAAGAAAGATGCTCCCAAGAAGAGTAAAATGCATTATGATCCTATACTTGGGAAACTAATTCCTAATAATCCAAGGAAATAATATGGCAAAGAGTTTCAGCTTTGAACCTCTTCAAAGCTCAAAGAGATTATCTCAATCAAAGAATAGTCAAGAAGACTATCGGAAAGAAAATCTGAACGAAAGCATATTTGATATTGACGCAGAGCTCAATGTTTTGGACCAGATCCAAGAAACTGTTTCTGAAGATGAACTTCAACCAGAAAGAAAGGATTCTAAAGACTCAATTGAATCTATAATCCAGAGATCTCTTGAGACATCTAAAGCTAGCGAGATAAGTGGGCGAAATACAGAGGAAAAGGCTCATAATATTGTCAACCAAATAAAAGATATTCTTGCATTACAATTTGAAAGACATATAAGGTCAGAAAAGGACACCCATTCTGGCATTAAATGAAATGAGTGCCAAATGGATCCCATCATAGGAATCAGATACAAATGTGCAATCTGAATAGAACACAACCTCTGAGAATTCTGTGAAATTGATAATAATCATGAGCATATCTTTATTAAAGTTAGAGACCGTAAAATCAGAATCCCAATGTTTTGTGAAATTAGACACATGGCAAAAAAGATTCCAAGGTCATCCTTCGATTGACTCGAAAAGAAGAATTTTCCTGATTATCCAAAACTTTACATTGATGTTAGCTCTGCTCTTGAAAATACTGGTAGTCCTGTAAAATCTACAGAAGATATAAATAAGGCAGTATTGGTTTCTCTTCCTGATAAGGATTTCCTTAAAACTATTCAAATTCAAGAAGTAAAAAACATTAGCTCTGCTTCTGATCTCTTAATCTCAGTTTGATGGTATCTCCAGAATAGGACTTCATCGGCATATCCTCCAGAATCAGACAAATTGATTCTTAAATGTTTGCCGAATGATTATCTGATCCACTCGGTTTAGTTGAGGTTTCGGTAAGATTATTTTGTTCATAAGCTCCTAAAATTCTGATTCCTTTCTAGCCTTCCACAAAACCAACGACGCATGCACAGATATCCCCAATGCCACTCCTCCCTTCCAACCCCAGCACTCTCACCTGCAAATTCCTCCTCCCCTGCTCTCTCAAGTCTAAACTTCGTACCAAAACCCTAAACCTGACCTTCAGCCTGTACAACCCTTCCTCCACCCGCTACATCGGGTCTAACCTTCCTTGCACAATTCCTTTGTAACCCACAGGATGAACTGAAAGATGGAGTGATTTTCAATTTTTTTGTAAAAAGTTGGGGTTTTGGGGTTTTGGGGTTTTGGGGTTTTGGGG